GCCAGCAAGGACTCCCTAGCAAGTTGTTCCAAGAGCAGCTGACCCTGCAGCTGCACCCCTGAATGCTGAAACCCCGTTCCTGATTGTCTGCCTGGCCTGATCGAGTGACCCAGCTCCCTGGGGCTCTACTTCTTCACCTGCAGGGTGGAAGAATGACAGCACTCCCTCCCGGGGTGTTACCTGGACCTGGGGAGGCTCGCCACGGTCCCGGGGAAGCTGCTGGCTTACCGACTTCAAGGAGGAGTTGCAAGGGGCCTCATCTCTGCCGTGTGCATGGGGCTCAGCGGAGGTTGGCACACGTCTCTATAAAGCTGGCCCTAGCAGGCTAGAGAGTAGCTATGTTGGGGGCCCTGCTGTCGGTTACAGTGACGCCTCCATCACTGTAGCACCAGAGGAGCCACAAACAGCATGTAAACAAGCAAGTGTGGCTGTGTTTCCATACAGTTTACTAACAACAGGCAGTAGGCACATTTGCTAGAGGTTCCAGTCTAAGCTGCAGAGACGCTGTGGAAACCCTGGCTGTTCGCAGCAGAACCTGAAGCCACGAGGGGAGGAACCCAGGAACAAATACACAGGGAGAGGCAGGGAAGCCCGGCGTGCACACCCCTGGCCACACTGTCCTCCCTCCTCTGGCCTCCACAGGCCCCATGGCCTGAAGCATCTGGAGGGCGGAGGGCAGGGAGCCTGGTTGCCTCCAGGGAAGCAAAGGGGCGGATGCTGGGCCACAGAAGCCACCCTGCATGGTGACTTCAGAGGTGTCTGCCAGTCCATGCAGGCCTCAGCTGTCCCACGCAGCGGCCACTCTGGAGGTACCTGAGCGCCCACAGTCCCACACCAGCAGGCAGTCTCCCAGGTTGCCCCATCCCCTCCCCCAGAGAGACGCCTGTGCCAACCCTGCCCCTCCGGGCAGGGCTGGGCAGGGCCGGGCTCCCCACCCCGTCAGCAGCTGGCCTCCAGCCTCGCTGCGCTATAGCTCCTGGTGTGAACGGCAGCATAGAGTCCTCAGAAGGGCCGCAGGACAGTCGCTGCCCCGGCCCCCGCGTCACGAGGAAGGCTGCAGCCACGGCAGGCACATTCCGGGAAGGGACGTCACTTCCCGGTGCTCACAGCAGGCCAGCAACATTTGAACCCAGCTCTCGCCGACTTCTCAGCCCACACGCTCCCCTTCGCATCAGCACGGGGGGTCAGGGTTAGCACCCCTGCTCTTCCCAGCTGCTTCCCCGTGCCCCTCTCTGCAGACACCACGCTTGCTGCCCCTCAGCCTGCCCTGGGCCAGGGAGCCTGCCGCCCCGCAGTGCGCCCTGAGCCCCTGCCTCTGTGCTGTGGCCTTGCCTGACCCTTGTGGGCGCAGCTCTGAGAGAGCAGTAGAGCCGCCGTCTGCTTCCGCGCCCTGCCTCCTGCCCGCAAGGCCCAGCCAGCCGGCAGGGACACGGAGCAACAGTCACTTTATTTCTGGGCTCGGGAGTTCCAACTGGCCCGGATTGCTCAATGCTCGTGTCAGACAGGGGAGCAGGAAGGGGCAGGAGAGAGGCTTGGCAGACGCTGCGGGAAGGGAAGTGCGTGGGCAGCCGCCATCTGGGGCTGCTCGAGACACTGATTTCCCCCAGAAGCCCTGTGTTTGTCTGAGTGATTTTCATGATTTGAAGACTCTCTAGTCTTTCTAACTCCCCCTGGTCCTTGGTAAATAGAGGAAATGAGGGTGGTGGCCAAGACCTGGCGCCTCATTTCTGAGTGGGACCCTTATGAAGCCAGACGCCGTGGGCTCAGTCCCAGGAATGCCCGCCAACCCTCAGCAAAACACAGCCCCACCACGAGGACCTTCCAAACAGACCACATCCCTGTGCTCACGCTGAGCCACCAGGCACCTCCGCGCCTAGCCCCAGCGTTGTAAGACCCGCGCCCTCCCCCACGCCCGGCTCCACCACGACCGTCCCCCTGGGTGCTCAGCGGCCCCTGCTCTGTCCTGCAGCTCACCCGCTCAGCTCCAGTCCACCCCGGAGGGAGCAGCAGGCATACTGCCCCAGGGCAGCCAGTTCTCTGCAGACAGGATGGTGCAGGGAGGCCCCTAACTCTCAAGACGAGTTCTGCGCGGACGCCCTGTCTGTCCCGTATTTCCCCGCGTTTCTAGTGGCCGGAGGAGGGAGGAAGCAACGCATTTAGGAGGTGTGGGACGTGCCTTTTCCCAGAGCCCTTGTGTCCTGCGGGGCCTGTGTCCACCTTCGTGTTCCACCTGGCCTCTCCGCCACGTGCTGCTGGCCCCACCAGGGTCCCCTGAGGCCACCTGCCCTCACCAGCCCCCTGACCAGCGAAGACCCCCTCACACCAGGCTCCACTGCGGTGGGCACGGTCGGGGTCCCCAGGCCGGCGGGCCTGCCCTGGCAGGAAGCAGGAAAGCCACCACGGATGCTCAGCTGCGCGATGAGTGTGGTCGTTTAATAGTCAAACAACCAGTTGAAAGCTATTGATAAAGTCAAATAATTATGTAGCACAAGTAACTAACTGTAATGATGACTGTTAAATAATGACAATCATTTACGGTAAATATAAATACTCCCATGACTACTAAGATTTGCCGATGGCTCGTGGCAGTGAGGTTTCCTGGCACGACGCACGTGGACACGCGTGAGTCGCGACGTGCCTGGCTCCCTTTCTGGCTCCTACACCGAGGGCCTGTCCCCACCGCGGGTGATAGACTCACCCCGTTCTATGGAGGAGGAGACAAAGTCGATGTGATTTTCTCAAGGACACACGGGTGGCTGGGAGCCTGAACTGGGGTCTCTGTGGGTCCGGAGGCTGCGCCCCCATCGCTTGGCATTCCCCCCGTCACCCCACAATCCTCCAGGGCCCGTACACTGCCGCTGCGCCCCACACGCCCCTTCGGCTCCCTGCCCTGGTGTCCAGCGGCGACTTCTAGCTGCCGCCCGGTGCGGGTGGCTGCAGCTGCCCTGGGCCAGAGCCGCTGGCCCTGCCCCGGTGCGGGTGGGCCGTCCACCCAGTACTGTTCCAAGTCACTGCCGTGAGGTGACTCGCTCACCCTCCGACCGCCTGCGGACAGGCACACGGGCTCGGGGAACTCTACGCGCCGCTCTCCCTCGGCAGCCAGGACACGCGGGAGGCTCCGCCAGGCCCTCCCGGCCCCACAAAACCACAGCCGGTGGTGTGGCCTTTGGTTCTATCCCTTGTCCTCACACGCTGTCTTGGCCGCACCTTGGGAAAACGAGCAGGCCCCCCCAAGAAGGCTGTGCCCTGGCAGCCGTCACCCTATCGAGAAGCTCCCGTACTGCTGGGGGAGGCTTCCGTTTAACTCAGGGACGGCCGTCGTCGCCCGGGGAGGAGCAGTGGGCTCCAGAGAAGGGCTGTGTTCTGAAGAAGACAAACGCCCAGCACCACGTCCCCAAGATGCAGGAGGGGATGTGTAAGTGCCTACAGCTCAGGGGACGTGGGCAGAAGGATCAGGCCTGCCAGGAGTAGACAGAGCAGGGCGACACAGAGCCAGTCGCAAAGAAGGTGCTTCTGGATGCTTCGGGATGTTTCTGGGGCCCTGGCACAGCTTTCCAAAGTGCCTACACATTCCTTCACAGCTGTCAGCAAGAGGTGGGGTCTCTGGCCCTCCTGAACCCAGGACACAGGGACAGCTTGGACTAAGAGTGTGGTAGCGTTGCCAGATGTCCCCGGAGGCCGGGTCACAGGCAGCCAGTCTGCTGTCCCTCTGTCCACTGGGTGCCCCCTGGCTGCCACGTTGCGAGGAAGCCAGCGCCCCATGGCGGGGCCAAGTGCCGATGACACTCCAGATGGCAGTCCCGCCTGTGCCTGGCCTTCCCGTCCTCCTGGCCCGGGCACCACCCTGTGGAGAAGCCTGTAGAAGATTCTACCCCATCCCACCCCCGCCCTGAGTCATCTCCAGCTGTTCCCAAGCAAGACTCCGGACATCACGGACCAGAGAAAAGTTAACGCTGTGGTGCTGTCTAAATCTACCCCGCAAATCCACGTGCCAAACAAGAGGTATTTAACCCGCTGAGTTTCAGGGTAGTTTATCATCCTGGAAGAGATGCAAGAATCCGTCCGGACTGAAAGTCCAGCAAGAAGCAGAAGGAAAATGCAGGCTCTCCTCTCTTCTCGGATTTTCCAGAAGCTGGGGGTATTACCGAAGCATCTTCCCTGAATTCCCCGCCTCAGTCCGCCCCTCCTGTGAGGTGGCCATGTGAAGTTGAGCGCAGGGGGATTTTATCAACAACCTGCTCAAGCGTGCTGAGCTCTGCAGAGCAGCAGACTCTGTTCACCTCCACCTTGGGCCCCAAGCCCAAAGCACAGCAAAGGACTGGCTGCACGCCGGGCACGCACGTGACTGACTGCCAGGTGGCCACTGCCTTTCCCTGGGAGCAGCAGGCCGGGAGCCCCGCACTGGGCCTCCCTCCTGAGAGGGTAGATGGCGCTGTCCGCACCCCAGGCCTAGCCGCCCGCCGTCCCGTCCTCCCAAGCCTGGAGAGGGAGGAGGCGCTGATGTGTGGACAGCGGGGTAGCGGGGTCAGCCCCTGCGGCTGATCAGCTGGTCCTCAGCTGGCCCTTGCTTCTGAATGACCTGCCGCCCGGGACATGCCCCCACCACGCGCGGCAGAGCTGGCCTGCACGGCCCGCCTACGACCATTTCCAGCGGCTTCCAGAAGCTGCCACCAACGCCGGCTTCCAGCTTCCCCCACATGTGCCCCCACCCCCGCCAACCAGCTCCGGGGGCCTGGGCTCTCCTAAAAGCGAGGCCCTGGGAGCCTCACGCCATCACACCTTTCCGCTTTTGTTCTGGGGGTGCATGAAAAAGCAGCAAAATACTGCTCCAACCCGCAGTGCAGTCCCGCTGCATCTGAACTCCCCACCTCCGGATCCGGTGTCTGGGAGGGGTGAACTATCTGACAGGGCCCTAAAAGGAAAGCAGCACACTCGCGGGCTTTGAAAAAAGCATTTATTTTAACAAAGAATAAAAAGACCGATATATCTTTCCAGTGGATACAAAAATAAATATTCATTGCGCATATGAAAGACGTATGCCTTACAGTTATCTGAGCTGGAGACAGAATTTCAGAAGACAGGTCAGGCACCCTGCAGCTCTAACTCCCACTCTGTGGCCCACGGAGACAGCCGCCGTGGCTGGCGCTTCCCGTGGGCCGCACGAGTCCACGCACTCGGAGGCGCCTGGTGCGGAGGCCCCGTGGGCCGTGCCTGCGCCGCCGCGGCTGCAGGGGCAGGGATGTGAGCGGCCCGCGGGCCCTTCCGGTGCCCGGTCAGACGCTCAGGGCCTCCAGGACACGGGTAAGCGGCGGGGGGCCATCTTAGCCCCCCCAACCCCCGCCTATCTCCTACCCCACCGGGCGAAGCCCCTCCCTGCCCTGGCGGGTGAGATCCCCAGTCGGTAGGGCAGAGGCGAGCAGGTGGGCTGGGGAGAGAAAGGACGCTCGCCACCCAGGAACAGCAGCCCCCCCCAGCCCCCCAAGTCCACCTGATGTCTCCACCACCCGCACAGCAGCAGCCACATCAACAGGCCCAGAGCAGACAGGCAGGGGACACCCGCGGCGGTGGGCACGCACAGGCAGTCTGGAAGTCCCTGGGCATCACCCGGGCGCACAGACTTTGAGCAAGGGACCCCCTATTCCAACAAGGGACACCCCACTCCAACAAATACAGGGAAAATTTGCTCAGGAAAAAATGCTCAAGTGCTTTCCAACAATGACAGTGATTGTCAAGTGGCCTGGAGGTGCCTGTGCCCCACTGGGAGGCCTGTGGGAGGGGGTTCAGTTCAGCGTGTACCCCCCCACCCCCTGCCCACTCTTGGACCAGTGCCACGGTTTACGTAAACCTCTCTGGGCAGAGGCTGCACGCTTACTTGCTAGTAGAAGGCTAAGTTCCTGCCGATGACCACGGGCTTGTCCAGGGAATGTCCCCCTCAAGCCCCCCTCTCTGATGGCCAGGCATGCAGGGGGGGCGGGGGGCCACAGTACACTGAGGAGTCCCAGGGAGTCCTAGGGAGCCTTTCTCCCTGCCAGCGTCCACCCGCCCCATGCCCGGGGAGTCCTCGGGGATCCTGCACAACTCACCCCACCGCCCAGCCCCCTCCCCGTGCCCACACTGAGCATGCCCCGCGCAGGACAGACGGGCTGGGCGCAAGAAACGCCCACATGCCCCGCAGTCACTGCTCATGTTTGGGGATTGTGGCTCAGGTCCTGCCCACGTCATAACGTCAGAAGACTCAAGCAGTTTACAACAGCACAGTTACAAGGACAAATATTTCTATAACAGCTCAAAATCATTAAGAAAGGAGAAGAGGTCGCTCTGGTGATTTAATTACTGCAATGAAAGAAGTCCACGTGGTTCTGTTTCCCGGCAGCAAGGCCCAGAGGGAGTGTTTTCAGCATCTGAGGCAAAGCGGCAGCGGGACCGGCGCACCCTCGCCAGGCCAGAAGCTCTGCCCCCACCTATGGGGAGCCTTAATTCTCATTCACATGCTTCAAAATAGAGAGACGTTTGCATCAATCAAGCCTATGAGCTCAGAAACCTACAGCTTTAACAAAAGATAAAGACAAAGCCAGCGGTGTCCCTGCAAGCCCACAGCGGACCCCAGTTCTGTCTGGCCAGCGGCTGCTCGCTACCCATGTTGAATGCTCAGGCTTTGGAAGTGTCAGTTACCCCAAAATGTGGACAGCATCGCCGGGTGGACGGTAATGAGGGCAAAGGCAAGAGACGGGCGCTTCCGGGGTACCCTGACAGCGGGCGAGGGGCCGGTGTGCGCTGGCATCCCCACGGCCGCGGACAGCCCTCAGAGGGTGCCCTTCCCAGATCGGAGCCAAGGGAGGCACCCGCCCAGCTTAGCGGGGTCCACACCCGGACGCCATCACCGCAGCGATGGCAACAGTGCAGTCGGACGCCGCTGGGCGGGTGCCCGAGGCGCTCAGACCGTGATCTGTTGGTTTTCTCTGAAAAAGGGTCTCTGGTGGGAGGCACACACGTCGGGGAACATCCGGAAGACCTGGTCTGGCTGGGGCTCCTCGGGCTGCAGCACGGCGCCGACCCCACAGCCCTTCCCGGCTTCTTCCACCAGCTGCCGGGCGTACAGCTGCTCCACCTGGGGAGGGCCAAGGGGGAGGTGGGGGACTGGGCCTCCCTTGGGCCTGGCCAGATTCCCCGACTACCCCAGGCAACGCTAGCAGGTCCGCAGCGGAGGTGCCCAGAGAGGGCGAGCAGAGCTCCCGCCAAGACGCCCGGCGGGGCGCAGTCTCCCAGCCTGGCTCGTCAGCGTCTGGATCCACCATTAGGGATTCATTCCTTTGGCTAGAGTGAAATACGGGCCCTGAGAGCCTTCAGCTGTCACTCTGAACTTACGGAAACTGACCAGCTGGAATTATTCTTAACCAAAAAGGGGGTCGGGGGGAGGGCACGGAGACAATGGGGACCCTGGAACGCGAGACCTACTTCTCCCCCCCTTGAAGTTCTGCCCAGGCCTGCCACAGCACACGGGGGGCACGCCTCAGTCCTCACTGCCCGCTCTCCAGCCGGGGACACAGCTGAACTCAAGTCCCGACGCTGCCCACCCTACCTGCACGAGGATGAGCTTGGAGCGCAGAGGAGTCATGTCTGGAAACTCCTCCCCGAAGCACAGCACCACCCTGCTGTCAGGCAGCCGGCTCTGGCTGTTGTAGAACTGCTGGAGCTCTGGAAGACGCAGGGAGGGCTGCAGCTCCAGCCTCAGCACCTCCACACCTGGTCTGCCCGGGGCGCCCCCGCCGGCCCCGCCCCGCGGGGCCCTCCTCCAGCGGCCTCCAGAAATGCTCGGGCCAGTGGCTAGAGAGGCCTGAGCCGCTACCTTTCCAGGGAGCGGAGCAGGGCGCCTTGGGGGCGCGAGAAGGGGGTGGGGGCCGTCCTCAGACGGCCTGGCCCTCTAGAAGGCAGGCACTGGGCGGAGTCCCGCTCAAGTGTTCACAGGCTGGTCCTGGGGACGCGGTGTACGCAAGGGGAGCACAGCTTCCCTGTGGGCCTCAGTCCCCAGGGCTCCTGCCAGGGAGCCTGGGCTGTGCCTTCCCAGCACCCCGCCCCCACCCGGGCCCGGGATTGGTCCCCCACAAGCCGCCCTTTTCCTCTGCCAGCTGACAGCCCCAGCGTAAGGGAGAGGCCCTGCGCCTCGTCTTGCTGGGGAGGGCAAGGCACAGAGATGTCACCAGGATCAGCCAGGGAGGGTGCAGGCAGGACCCCCGACCTCCCCTGCCCGGGGCCTCCCTCGGGGCGGGGCCCGGCGACGGGCACTGACCTCGGAGGAACTGGGTGGTGTCGAAGACCTTGGCCACCTCGTCACGCTCCAGCTTGTTGGGCCTGTCCCGGCACACCACGGCGTTGCCGCTGCAGAACACACGGCCCTGGCACAGCCGCTTGACCAGCACGCCCTGCCGGCCGCTGTGCAGCAGCACCCCGCGCTCCAGGTGCCCGAACAGCTTCCGCGTCACCTGCCGCTGCCTCTCGCTGGGGATGGCGTCGGCCGGCGGGAAGCGCACCAGCTCCAGGCCCTCGGGCCCCAGCAGCTTGCCGCTGGGCAGGCCCGGCTGGCTGGGCGACAGGCGGCAGCCCTCCAGGCAGGTGGTGGTGGTCTGGCCCACCAGCTTGCCCCCGTAGTAGAAGGTGATGACCATCTGGGAGAAGACTGCAGGGAGAGGGCGCGGCTTGGGGACTGCGGGAGGTGGGCGTCCCGGCCCCTGCTGCCCACGGTCCTCTCTCCCAAGAGAGGGGTCCTTAGCTTTGTGTGCCTGGGAGCCCCGTGGTGTTTGGAGAATGTCACACACCCCTTCTGGAAATCGCATTTTCATGAGCCCAAACACACACACGGATTAACTGCGGAAACCAGTGATTTCCGACGTAAACGGCCACTACGGTGTGTCCGCGCCGCTCAGGAAGCTGCTGACCTCGGCAGCTCATCGCTCACACTGCGGTAAGCCAGCGGCCCGGGCCACTCCGGGGCTTGTGCTGGGCTCCAGCCACACCATCGCTGGGCAGCCTGGGGGGCCCGGGACCTCACCTTTGTGAGGCTGGTGTGCACCCCGCCCCGTCCCCGCCCCGGCTCTGCGCCACTCAGACAGCGAGACTCCGGCTACCACTGCCAGCTCTGCTCTCTGCGCACAGCGTTTACGGCTCCTGGGGTCACACAGGGCGGCGGGTGCTCCGGCCTGCCTCACTGACCCGACGCTGGGGGAAACTGAGGCCCGTGGGGGCGCCCAGCAGCAGTGAGCAGCGGCAGCGCCTGCATCTGACCCCGACCAGGCGCCCCTCACGGCCGCCCTCTGCCCCGCAGCCGCCCCGACATCTGCACGGCCTCATGACCACACGTCCCACCTGCTCCTGCACCTTGAACTTCGTCCCTCGTGAAGAGCAACGGCTGCCCCTTGGCCCCTTCCGGCCGAGGCCTTATCTCCTGCCAGAGGCCCGAGCGATGGGCCCCACAGCCCTTGCCCTGCTCGCCCTCTCAGCCAGCCTGTGGGGAGCTCAGGGGTGGCCCAGCAAAGACACCGCCTGACACATCATCCCAGCTGTACGCCCGGGACAGGCAGTGTCAGGGTTCTGGGCCTCAGTTTCCCCACCTGCAAGTGGAGCTGATAACAGGGCCACCTGTGGGGAGCTGCGGGGCTGCAGGAGGTAGGATGCTTACTGGGAATGGGGGTGCCGCCTGAGACCAGGGGCACTGGTTTAGCGGGGGCCCGGAGTGATAACC